GAAAACTTAAGGAACAACAGAATTTCTGAATTTTTTACCAGATACATGTAAGATTCAAGTTTGTATGAAAAGTGCTCAATAAAGTTTGCTATTATTTTTAAAAAAAATATATATATAATTATTATTATTATTATTATTATTATTATTATTATCTATGAGGGGAGGGGTGCCGTGAAGAGTGCTCTGTTATACATGATAAAGATTTAAACTTAAGGTATTATTAAATTAATCATATACACGATTACGTTTATTCATTTATTTATTATTTATTCATTCATTCATTCATTCATTCATTTATTTATTTATTTATTTATTTTATTCCATTGTTTAATTACTTATTCAATTATGTATTCATATTTTAGGCGGACCTCCCCTACCTCTAAATCTATTTATTCGCAAACTGTTAATTATCACTTAGTGACATTATTTGCTGCTGATCAAGGTCTTTGGTTCTTGTTCTCATTTCACCAGACATTTTGCCTTCTGCAATTCAGTTGTTAACCTCTTGCGCAGTATCACAGTGAAGTACACGAGTATCACACAATGAAGTACACTTGCATTATAATGACCGTCACGATCCAAAAACTCAAACAAACTTACCGTGCTTGCACCCCTGGCGACAAGTATAGGCGGCTGCGGCTGGTTGCCTTTGTGACGTAAACGATTGTTTAGCTGAGCACCCTGGTGATGCCTGATTGAAACTGATCGCTTCAATGAGCGCGAAAACTTCAATACCAGCCAAAACATACAAGATTTCTCGGTCATAGGTGCCGTTATATTTCTTGCATGAATAAGAATGTCGAGAAAAGGAAGCGGCGGCGTAGCGAACAAGGCGAAAAAATCCTCGAGCACTTTCGATGCTTCGAATGGCGTCAAACATCATGGAAGTGCAGAGACTCGAATAAGCCAGAGTGAAACTGTGGTCAGCACTCGAAGGAGAAGGGACACGTTTAGCCATTCCATCTACGAGAAGGCAGCGGAGATATATCGTCATTTGAAGGGTGAAATACCATCCTCGCAGCTTCCAACATTTGATGAAGATTTAGAACGACGACGGGCATACAGCTTAGCTTTCGGAGCCAAACGATGTGAGTTGAATAGTCCCAGTGCCAACTCTTTTAACTCAAGACTTTATGATTAATATAATGATATTGTTGTAACATAATTTGAGCGATCCCTGCAGTTTCTTTTGAAGTTTTAATTGAGATAAACGTAGGTTAATTAACGGGCCCTTTAATTTAATTTTATTCGTTCGCTGTCGCAGCGGAAAATTCAAATATTTCTTTTTAAAGACGTTTCGCAGCTCTCTTCCCTGCGCAAGCTCTTAAAAATGCCTCGGTAACCCAAAAACAAGACAACTTTAATTTTTATGTGGTTATATAACATTTTCACTAACAACAAGAAAAGGGCTGCAGCAGTTTTTCCTAACTTTTAAGAGTCAACTATATAGGATTTGAAAAATTTCGTTATATGCAAAGACTACTTTCTCCATTCTTTACGTTGAACAAATAACCTTTTAGTTTGATATCGGAGGATCAAAGTCTTGTCATGGACCAGTTTATAGGCTGTGTATTGTTTCAGCTGCACGATTCAATATCCGCTCGTTCGTTTTGGCCAAAACTTCTAACATAATTTTTACAGTACGGAATAAAATGCAACAGTTAATTCTGCTAGGCCCGGTATGATATATAGTTACTGTAATTTAAAATCGTCTGCTGTTATACAAATAGCAGGCTTACATTTATTAATTTTGGGGCTGATTCCCATGACAGATAATTGACTATTCCTCTTTGTATTAATTGTATTTGTCAGATGAGACAGTTTTGGATGATGTCTTACTTGATAGTTACTTTTTTTCAAGTTATTTTAAGGTAAGCCCCCCATTTACATGGATATTAATTATGGTAATATTCATTTCTTTGTTTTTCTCCTTTAAGAGTTGGAAGCCTAACTTTACATGGAAATCTGAGGATCAGTCCCCAGGTTTACATTATTGTTACCATGAAAATGAGAAGTATTGGAAAATCGAAAATATTCAAGGATCATGGACAAGCTTTCTTAATGTAAATTAAAATTCAGTCTGGTGAAATTGTATACCACATTACTTGACATAACTTGTTATCTCTTGACAGGTCATATCCTTAATTGAAACTTAAAAGCTTAAGGTCATCTTAAAGATGCAACACTCATAATTTTAATAATTCAGATTATTTCTCATGCATGACAGTCACTTATATTCCACCTACTTAAGAAATTATGTACTAAAGTATACAAGATTCAGGCCCCATGCACACTGCCAGATAAATTTGAAACGCAACAATCAGCAGTCATTTTTGGATTTGTGTTTGAGGAAAACTTGCGAAGGGAAATCATGTGATTATCTTGACGTCATCGTTTTCAAAGAGCTCCATTTTCAAAATGTTTTCCCTCCACACTAAAACACATAGCTGGCATTTTCATGTTCCTCCAGTTTGAAGAGTGTTTTAAAAAGGCGCCATTTTCTTGACAGATTACTGCGGGCGCCCGGGGGGTACTCCCAGAGAAATTTGGTGGGGGTGTGCAGCTTCCCAAAACCCTTACCCTGTTTATGACCAAAATCTGAGATTTTCCCTACCCTGTATATGACCAGACCAAAGATTCGATACCCTATTTATGGCTGTTGCGTCTGACACAGTTACCCTAAACATAATTATTGAAGGGCTTTTGTTTATGGTCTTATCAATAATGATGAAAAAGTAGCTATAGCTTCTTCTGAACAACATACCCAATTCAAGACTAGAGTACAAAAACCATACCCCATTTAAGACCAAAATCGATACCCTCTTTATGACCAAAATGGCTGAAAAACCCTACCCTTTGGGGTGTACAAACCTATATAGCCTTTATAAGGGAGTACTCCCCCTCCCCCTCAGGAGTGGTCGTTGGGCCTAAGCATAGAAATAATGGAAATTGGAACTGCAGAGAAAGATGTAAAGACATAAATGATCAGTACAGTTGTGATTTAACTTAAGCATTTTTGAAAATATTGCCTAAAAGAAATTCACAATTCACAACATGACCAGCCCCCAGTTGGCTTGATAACTTAGTTATAGGTTAAGCACTGCATCGTTATTAAAGAGGTCATGCATTTGAATCGCATTCAAGCCTGAATTTTTTTCAGGCGTCACTTTCACAACTGCTTGAGAAGGGGAGGGAAATTAAGTGAGTAGGTTATTTCAAAAATTATCAGATGGACATACAGCATCAAGCCGCATTGAAATTATGAGCATGATTGCTTTCTGAATTTTATGGCATGAGGTCCAATTTCTAATTGGTCGTATCAAGTATAGCAAATTTTGTTTTAGATACATAAGGCAAGACGGTTAATTTATATTATAATGTGTGACTTCAACATTTGTCTCAGTGCACTTGAACTTCACTGTGGTCGCATTTGACTTGGTCAACCAATAATTTCTGTTGTGGTGGGGGTAGTATAATTAGTATTTATGCGTCACTTTGACTATTTATGCTCATTACTTTATTGTATTCATTAGTTAGAGGCTTACCACAAACATCGGGTCATGGTCATGTTACTGGACTATCAACAAAATGGCTTTTACTTTGGAAATGAGCGCTTCAGAAATAAAAAGATGGAGATACCAAACAAAGAGAACACCATCCAACAAATCTTAGAAATACAGCAAGCTATGGCATCTCATCGGATTAAACTTCGTGCAGCCCTTGCTCGGAGTCGAATAAGAGACTGTGCAATTAACGTTGAGGCTTTACTTCCCAAAGAAGAACAAGACAAGCTTCAGTACGCTGCACAACAGCCTGTATATGCAAGAGTTAACACGTGGAAGGGAAGTTATGGTGAGGTGCTAGAGACCTTAACCAGTGAGGGATTTTTGATGGAAGACAACTTGCCATCTGCAGAGGATGATGATAATGCCAGTGGAGTACGCTGCTTTGTAAAGGATCAGCATTTTGAGAATTTGCTGGTGTTTCCTCCCGCTATCAAGTTTGACCTGTATGAACATGATTTTGTGTTAGATGGCAAGCTGGCTATTCAGGTTTGATCTATTGTTGAATGTAGGGGCACTTTTGATGAAATGAACTGGCCCCCAAACCTGTATCTAATAGTGTCTTTGGTTTTCTGGTTTATTACTTTTCCCACCTGCCCCCTCCCCAATTGGTGATGTACTTACTTCTTTTCACGTGACACATGATTGGCGAAAAGAATTCTCCGTGATAGGTGATTTAATAGAAAAATTCAGTGTGATGCTTGATTGGTACCCCCCCTTTGCCACCCTCTATCTGCAAGCCAACCTTGCAGACCTTCTCAATATTTACCATTAATTTTACTTAATGAGTGCTGATTGATTGATGCACTGATTATTATTAGAGATCATCTTTATTTGTTGAATTTTTTTTTTTCTGTAACCAAGGAAATTATCCATAATATAGAGTTGCCTTTGTTATGGTGGCGTCAGCAGGGAGGGGCACAGCAGTTTGTAAATCACAATTCAACGACATTTAGCTCTCTCTCTTATGAATATTCACACTTTGTTAGATATCCAGACTTGAGTATTAGTTCAGATGTTGCATTAGTCTGCTGACAGCCGGTTTTTTGTCTAAGGATCAGTTAGATGAGTGTTTAGTCGTCATGAATGCAAAAGGGTGGTATGGCAGTGGCCGAGTAGTGAAGAAGGTGGGACAAGGGCAGTATGGCTGAGTAGGGAAGAAGACACCCATGTCTTGTCCCATTCCCCTTTAGGCTAAAGCGTCTCGCCTCATAACCCCTGCTGAATTTCGAGAGGAAAACAGACTGCCAGCAGTCTAATATTGCATCGACAATCAAGGTTCCAGTGAACTGTGTATGTTGAATTTCTGGTCAAGTACAGCAGATTTTAACAGCAAAGTTCTCTGTGTTTTTTCTTGTAGGACAAGTCAACAGTAGTGGCTGCAGAGGTTGTAAATTCCATGATTTTAGAGTTTGCTTCACAGAAGGAGAAAGCAGTCCAACTTATTCCAGGAGCTGATGTTAAGTCTTTCCTGGGTGAAGGAGATGATGTTATTCAAACACATGCAGAATCTGGTAGGTTGGAATGAATGATGATGGGGTTACCTTGCTGTAATTATTATTAAATGAAAGGTACTACAGTTGAGAGAAAATCTTAAAAATTTATATAGACTTGGTGGGACTGTTAGTCCTTGCAATTTTGATCATCAGTGCAACTTTTTGTACTTTGATTTTTCAAAGGGAATCTGACTGCTCACCTGTCGTCGCTAATCCATCCTGATAGAAGGATCTTTGCTTTTGGCGTTACTCCTGATAGTCATGAGCAGATTGAGGATAAACTGGAGAGGATGGCAGCAAGAAGTATCCTTTTCTTTGATAATTATGCTACCAAATTCAGGTTGTGGTCAAGTGTTCAGAAAGGCACTTTTGTTATTTACTCATTCTTATACTTGTCCAGAAACTAATGTCCGGTCAGAACATTAACTTTTCTGTATAGTTCGTATAGTGCGATCGTCCCGGTGGGATAGTTGTGCAAAGAACTGTTGTTGGTGATTGACGTTTCGACAACCTGAGCGGAAGTCCTCTTCAGAGTCAAGTGAAGAGTATTTGTCAGTCTGTGGTGTTGGCAGTCAACAGACCACAGATCTATGACACCATCCACTGGCAAACGCTGACGACTCTGAAAATGACTTCTGCTCAAATTGGCAAAACTTTAGTTATCAACAACAGTTCGTTTCAGACCAGCCTCGCCCAATGGATTATAATTGGTAACACTTTCATGTTTTCCCGCGCTTCAATACGGTTACTAGCCTGCCTAGCTGACATTTCCTTTCCATTTCCAGGCGGAGAGATCGAACAAGCAAGCGAGCAAGCGGTCGAGCGAAGAAGTGCGCCTGGGATGAGAGAAAAATAGGGAGAAGTGGAGAGGGGGTCGCTAGCAGTTTTGTTCCCTTCGCGTGCTTTTTTGGAAACGCCTGCGTAGCAAGCTATACGTTACCGTAAATGATCTACGTTGTAATTAACACCATGGGGTGTCTATTAATTTTCAGGGTGCCTAGTTGGAGGGAGGGAGAAGTTAAATCGATATGAGGCGTAAACGAAACAAATAAGACACGTAGTTTGCTCGCGGAGTGAAATAGAAACAGAGTTTGTGAGTAAGCCTAGAGATGTCGTCTATTGCTTGATATCGGTGTCTTCATCGTCATCCGGGTCAACCATAATCTTCGCTTTCGAGTCATTAATGACCTGAAAAATTATATTTATATGAAGGCGTTTGGTGTTTTCAATTGAGTCATGCAACCTTAACGAGCAGCCCAGATGTCAACTTACAAGAGGAAAGTTTCCTCGATGCTCTACCAACAGACGAACGCTTGAAGAAAGTGCGAATAATCGTTGTCAACGTTCCGTGCTCCAAGTCAGGAATTGTTAACCCGGTAGATTTCGTCCTTCAAGAGGGCGTTACCTCATCGCTCAAAGAACTTGCGCGTGGAAATGCTGACAGCAGCAAAGTCAAAGGACTAGCATTCCAACACTTGAGTTTCTTGAGGCATGCGATGAAGTTCCCGCAAGTACAAGCCATCATTTACATTACGCGCTCGACGCACAACTCGGAAAATATGGACGTGGTGAAGAAAGCTATGGAAATGAACCAAGAAGAACGAAGCAAGCAGACGAGCTTTTACGAGGTAACGCCTGCTTTGCCGGGACTCGCGCAGAGTTTAAAGGAAGCAGCTAGGATTTCTAATGGGCTTCAAAATGATATTTCTTTGACGCACAAAGGTAAGTAAGTTATCAAGTTTTAAATTCTCCTTAATGGCTTCTGTATACTTTTCATTTTTCTGTTCGAGACTAGAATTTGTTAACAAATCAGACAATTTTTCTCCAATAAGTGAGCACTTTCGAAATTCTCATCTATGTGCTCGCAAATTGCACAATACTACTTCATAAAACGGTCTGAACAGGGAGCGCAACAAGTTTTAGTAAACGCAAAATAAACTGAGGTGAACATTGTTTATCTCAGCGGGGAAAACCTTCATAAAATGGCAAATCGACAATGTCGGCGTCCAAACCTCAAAACTTTGTTTTGATAGGCTCACTTCAATCCGTTAAAACTGCAGGAGAATTACGCGGCTGTTTTAACCAAGTGCCTTAATTAATTATAACGAACTGTTTTTTTCACGGAATGTGCTTTTAGTTAATTTGTGTATCACAAGTAGCTACAAGTATAATGTTTTTTTCTTTAACTTGGTAAATCTAGAACCAGAAACAAGGTATCTGAGTCTTGAGCCTTCAGCCGCCATGAATGGAGGATTCATTGCTCTTCTTAAAAGACAGGTAAATTAAATTGTTATTGCAGGTAAATTACCCCTGTTTATCACAGAGTACTGGTCTCATTTGGTGTCACCTTGTTTTAATAACAGCTTATGAACAACGCGCAAGGTAATCTGAGTAATCAGCTTTGCCATAACGCCTACAGCAGCTTCATGTTAAGAAACACTCCCCGTAATGGCTGGCAAAGTAGAGTTACATTTTCCTACGCGGGATAGGAAAAGGATCGCATGGTAAATCACAGGGAAATCGAAGCCATGCAATCGTTACGTCACAGCAAGGGCGTAATGAGAATCAGAAGTCAACCATAATAATAATAATAATAATAATAATAATAATAATAATAATAATAAT